CGAGGAAAGCGACCTCRGGCCGTGGCGACYAGGGTTCGAAGATCTTGCRGTACCCGGTCCTGAATACAAGGATGGCCATATCGACGTATTGGAGGCCTTGAAGGCTCTGGATCTTCGGATCCCCGTCCCTATTCCATATCTGCTAACCATTTCTGAAGCGGCTAACGAAAAATTGATCGAACGGTGCCTCAAAATCAGGCGCCGGTTCGAGGAGAGTCGAAAGGACAAAAAGTCGGTCCTACGGGACCCACCCGCCAACGAGGAACCACAGCCCTCGACCTCAGATGTGCACGAAGCCAACCGGATAGGGATGATACAGACCGTAGATTCAACCTTGGAAAAACCCGAGGTATTCCTCCAGGCCTATCCTATAACATGGAAAAGCGTAGAGTGTGATTGTGAGGTCTGGGGAAACCCCTCGGCCGCCATCCTAGACTCAGGATCATCGGCGGTCGCCATCTCTTGGAGATTAACGAAACAGTTGGGAAGGGAAGGACAGGTTCAGCCCCTCCGACCGGATGAACTTTATATATCCGCTACGGAAGATAATATTCATTGTAAGGGGATAATAACGAACGTGCCCATACGTGTGGGGCGGGTGCATTGTTTGTGTGACGTGATCGTGCTGGATGTACAGGCGTATGATGTTCTGCTAGGCATTCTGTGGCAGGCGGCGGTCGGAGCGCGAATGCACTTCGACAGTTGTAAGGTGGTGCTCACATCGGCCCACCCCAAACCCCAAACGATACCAATGAGACTGGCGGTGCGCATGCGCACCCAGCCAGCGCCTCGCCTCGCCTCGAAAACCCATCAAATCAACATGATCCAACGCTTGTCACCAGACGAAAACGAACCCTCAACAAAAACCGACGAGACTGAGGTACCCGACCGATATCCGATCCGAGTTCAGGATCGGTGGCGCCGTTCTTGGCGGCAAGAACCACTGGAAATAGTTCGGAGCGAGTCCAATTGGTCGCACGCATTCTCTTCCGTGGTGCAGGGGGAACCCCTGCTGAGGGTGTCCCGAATAGCTGACTTTTCGGAAACCCCCTGCACCCTTATATCTCAGGACGGACCCCCTACCTGAAAGATTTACCGAGCTAAGGGGGCTGTGCGATTTATCTTTTCGACCGCCACGGCCCCTACTCACGAATGAAAAAGCCGCAATAGTCTTAAAAGAGGGGGTGTCATTTCAACCCCGGACCAGGGAATATCGATGGGGACCGAGGGAACTGGCGCAGACCTTTTCGGTAGAACCCTCGGCCGAACCCGAACTGGACGGTGACAGTGACATGGAAAGCGAGCCGATGAGTCCGGTGGACAGTCAACTCATTGCGACTGTCCTTTCGGCGAAAACCGACAACTCTTTGTTTGGGGCCTCGCCCGATGCCAGCGCGGCGGTCCCCACGGTTACGACGACGGTCTCCCTTCCTTGGGGAACCGTGGAAGTGCAGTTACCAACCCGTGTTCCGGACGAATACCGGCGCCTCCTCCTGGCGGTTATACGGGCCTGTCCTGAGGCCGTCAGTATTCAGGACCACGACATAGGGCTAACCCCTTTGATACAACATGCGATTGATACCGGGGATCACGTCCCGATACACTACCGACCGTACGATATTCCCTTAAAGAAAGGCAGTTGGCCTTGGAAAGGGTACGGGAATTCGAGCGGTTGGGGTGGGTCGAACCATCGTTGGGACCGTGTTTTTTTCCCGTGGTCCTTGTGCCAAAAAGAAATGGTTCGGTCCGGGTATGTATCGACTACCGGAAACTGAACGCCATCACTACCAAAGATGTGTATCCCTTGCCGCGAATCGATGATTTGTTAGATGCTATCGGGGCCGCTCGAGTCTTTTCCAAGTTCGATATCCGACACGGTTTTCACCATGTCACGGTCCGACCGGAGGACCGACCCAAAACCGCTTTTGTCCTATTCGAGGGCACGTGGCAATGGGTCCGGTGTCCCATGGGAATTTGCAATGCCCCGACAACGTTTCAGCGGGCCATGAATATGGCCTTCGCCGAGTTCGTAATGCAATGAAAGATGTCGGGTTCAAAGTGGCCTTGGAGAAAAGCGAGTTCTTCTTGTCGGAGATCTCATTCTTTGGGTATATCGTCACGGTTAACGGACTAAAACCGGATCCGAGGAAGGTGGCCGCAATTCAAGACGCCCCGGCGTCGGTCACACTCACCCTGGTTCGGGCTTTTCTAGGGCTGGCATCCTATTACCGACGCTTCATCAAGGGGTTCGCCGGTATAGCGAAGCCCCTCATGAACCTGCTGAAGAAAGAGGAATAGTTGATCTGAACGCCGGAATGCGAAGCGGCGTTTCAGGCGCTGAAGGAGGCTCTGACATCGGCTCCTGTGTTGGCGCGTCCCAACCCGGCAAGATCGTTCGCACTGCACACAGACTGGCAGCCTCAGGCGATATCGGCGGTGCTGACTCAGCACGGGAAGGACGGAAGGGAGCACGTCATTGAGTATGCGTCCAAGACACTGAGCCAGGCGCAGGCTAATTACGAAGCATGCAAAGGTGAATGCCTGACGGTGGTGTGGGGGATTCAGCACTTCCGACCGTATCTGTACGGCCAGAAATTCGTGCTGGTAACGGATCATGAACCGCTGCTGTCCCTAGGCAACAACACGGACTACACGGGGACGCTGGGCAGATGGGCGGTGCGTTTGCAAGACTATGACTTCGACATCCGCCATCGCGCCACGCGGCAGCATGGTAACGTCGATGGATTAACGTGCCTTCTGTCGCCCAACAAGTGCCCCGCCAACGAGCGACTCATTCCGTGGAGACCAGAAGTCGCGGCGACGAAACCGCACTACGGAGAGCTACACGTGTTGCGTAAGGACGACGCCTGAGTCCGGAATGGAGGTTTCATCGGAGATGGCCGACACTATCTCTCAGCCCCCATCCCACTCCCTCGCTCTCTCGTCTAGCCCCAACTCGTCCTCTGAAACACACCAAAGTCCCTGTTTCTTCTATACCTTGCCTATGATCCCGGACCAAGAAGGGTCACATCCAGGAGGGCCCAGTTTTCTTCTATGGGTACAGTGTAGTCAGTGTCATACGGTCAAGTCTCACGGGCAGTGCGTTAGGTACCGAAGTGAAAAGACGTGGGTCTGTCCCAACTGTAGAACGGACCAAGTCCCTACCGAGAAGCGGTATCTGGACGCTAGAACAGTGGACGGATTTGCGCCGAGTGCCCGTCGGGCAGAGGCCTGGACGGACCTTTTGTTGCTACGAAGACTGTCAGGCGACTCGCTGTCAGAGCTTACCAAAGCCGAACAGTGGAGAGTCACGGAGCGGGTGCAAGACTATCGCTGGCAGGGCCCGATGTTACAAAAACGGAAGGTCGATGACGACGGAGAGTCTAGCTGGTTGACGGTTCCACACCCTCTTGCTAGGTTCAATTGGACACGAGCCGCTCATGAGGAGGATGCGGTCCATTTTGCGGTCAAGTACACGGAAAAAACCATCGAAAAGAACGGATGGTACTGGTCGGGAATTCGGGAAGATGTGAAATACATCTTTCAGAATTGCCCGGCCTGCGCGGAGGACAAGGCGCCGGTACAGATGCCTCGGACGATGGTGCCCACTCGTGTAGAGCGCCCCTTTTAGAGGGTTAGCATCGATACGACGGACATGAACGTTCCGAGAGGGCCCGTCGATCAGGGAGAGCTCAATGTTCTTTTAGTAGTTGTCGATCATTTTTCAAAATGGATCGAGGCATACCCTATGACCAGCCGGAATAAGCAGGAAGTAGCCTGATACGTAAATCGGTTTTTGTGCATGCATCTAGACGTAGAAGAGGTCCACATGGATAATGGGTCGGAATTTCAAGGCGAAGTAGAACGTCACCTAGTCAGSGCGGACGTCAAGATTATCTWYTYGCCGGGGCATTGGCCYCAAGCCAACGGCCTGGTAGAGAATGCCAACCGGCTGATTAAGATGACCCTTAGACGGAATATCACTGCGGGAGATACCCGACCTTGGCCGGTCATTGTCGATCACATTTTAGCCGTTTATCGGGCTACCCCACACGGTAGKACTGKGGTGTYCCCCTTTCAACTGAGAACCAATAGCGTCCCTCGGGTGCAATTGYCCCCCTTAGTAGGCACGRAAGTTAGAGCAACACGGGCCCAGAATCGAGACAAGGCCCGCCACTACSTGGACTYRATRGCTAGGGCCTATCCCCCRTTAGCCCGCCGTCGACAGCAGGCCGTAGATCGGACGCATCAACGGCAGATCCGGGACTACGAGAACCGACACGCGTCGGCGGGACCACTGCCCCGCTATAAAATTGGGGACTTGGTACAGGTATGGAAATCTGCGCGCTCCTCCAAGATCCACCCGCGATACACAGGCATTTACGAGGTCACGGAAGTTGGCGCACAGGGACAGCACTCCGTGAAGCTGATTCCCCGTCACAACTCCCAGGCCCGACCGCTAACACGCCACGCTGCCGCGCTCCGGCCCTTCCAGCCATCGCTAGGTCCCCTACGGACCCTCGCTCCTGTGAGATCACCCTCTCCTTCTTCATCCTCCTCCTCTTCTCGATCTGCCTCGTCCATTGGTGTTGAAAGTGCCGGGGAGCAGGATGAACCATCGCCAGCCGGAGCATGAGCCCCTCGAGCACTTCCAAACGTCGCTTGCAGATCACCTGTTGCGGCATCGGTTTAATGAGGAGAGGCAGTTGCGGTACGACATCCAACAGGTGAACGTGCCAGCGCCCGGGGTTGCTGACTTGGCCGCATACTCGTTGCTTTGCGATCGGCTGACGTATGCGGGGGTGTACGTGGACGTGACGCAGTTGCCCGGCCGGGAGACGACCCGGGTATTCATTGAGTTTCGTGCGCTCCAGGTGGCACCCAATTTCGTGCACAGCGTCGCCACCTTCATCGGAGACTTGACGATCCTCCCGCAGGAGAATCGGGAGTCGGCGCGCAGCTTTGTGCGCGAGTACGCGGTAGAAGCGGCCAGATCAGTGGCCAGAGTGCAAGGATGGAGCAGGCACCGATTCACAACCCACGAAGTGCTGCTGCGTAGGGCCGAGGACGGACCGATTGTGCTGGTGCTGCAGCTCCCCGCACTTCTCCCTCCCGCTGCTCCTCTCAACCTCCAAGCTATTCCCCCTGTCCCGTACTAAATGCCTCCTTTCTTCTCCTACACCACCCTCCCCTACCAGCTCACGACGAGCCCTTACCCCATGCGCGAGTTCTCGGAGTACTTGGTGGAGCTAACTGACGTGGAGCCGCTGCCCTTCGCCGACGAGGACGCGTGGGAGTTGCACCGGGCGCTGTACAAGTCCGTGGCGCTGGGGATGTTCCGGTTCTTCGTGGATCACGAAGACCACGCTACCGGTGAGCACTTCGTCGTTTACTACGTCATCACGCGACCCAAGCCAGCGGAAAAGGAAGGGACGGTCGCACTGTACCCATTCGACCAGCTCCAGACGATCGATCCGGGATTTTTGGAGCTCATACATCTTGATCTCCTCTCCATCGCGCAAGTGATCGTGAGCGATGAAGAGGAGATCCAACCGCGATTGCGGACGGTGACGGCCCCGCAGAGAACGTACAACGTGGTCGTCATCCCGGATTACATTGCGCAGCGCGCGGAGAGATTGGAGGACTTCCTGGAGGAAAGGCCGTTGCATCCTCCCTCATCGTACTCTCGGCCAGTGCCACCAAAGGCCCCCAAGAAGACGCCGAAGAGGAAGAGACGCCACCCGTCGCCAGGAGCGCAAGGCAGCAGGATCGGCGGCGGCGAGGAGGTGATTCAGCCCGCACGCGCTGCGACGCTCGTTAAGGAGACTATCGTGCCATCCCCGCCCATTCCGCGTGTGCCCGACCTCAATCTTGATGGAGCTGGGCCATCATCAGCAGCAGCAGCCGGAGGAGGAAGCCGAATGGGATTTTCGGATCCCATATCTAGACCCCCCGTCCTCGCGGAACCTCTCCGTTCCTGCCAACCACCCCGGGGTGCCCCGGTCATTGACCTTAGTAGTTCATCCGAGCCAGACGGTCCATCCGACCGAGGTGGACTTCATGGTGGATCCCGCCACCATTAGGCTCACGGCCATCGCGGGGGCGCTGCGCCCTGATCCGGCGTGGGAGCCATATCTGACACCCCCTTTTCAAGGGTGTATTGCGGCGCGATTGGCGGGGACGCTCATCTACGAGACGGGGCAGCGTCCCAATGCGGTGTACCACTTCCTGGTCTTCGCGGCGCAGAAGCGGGAGCGGCGGCCTTATACCGAGACGCATGTGGTGATGACGGGTCGAGGGCCCCAATCGGTGCGCAAGCAGGTGGTGCGAGCGGTGGCGGATCTGGCGCCACTGGTCCTCTCTCATGTGCCCTGCGTATCATAGATGTGATAAGCTCAGATCCGTACCGCGCGGCTTGCCGTATCCTTGAGGAAAAACCCTGCGGAAGCCCCGAAGTACGGACGCAGATAAAAAGGGGGGTTTCCTTCTTTTTGCTTTTGTTTTCTTTTTGAAACGGCCTTTTTCATTTTGTTTGGTTAATAACTCCCGTGGGCGAATAGCGGTCGTGGTATGAAAATCAAGAAACGGGTGCGGTTGGGATTTTTTTTGAATTTTTGCGCGCGCTCGCCCAAGCTTCGATTTCTTCGCGCGTCTCGCATCCCCGTTTCTTGCTTCGCATTCTCGCGCCATCTTCCCTTCTTGCTGCGCACATTTTCCCCATGGAGGACTCTTCGTCTTCCCCTACGCCCAACTTGATCCTTACCCTGTCTTCCTCCGCGAAGTGATTGGCGATGTAGTTGGGATGCTCGGATCAATGTGGAAAGCGGGAAACCACGCACCACTTGGACGAACACCCCAATCACGTAGCCATGCAATCCCGCGGGTCGAACCCTCTAACTCCCCACCTCTCTCTCCGGTCCTGCTCATCTACACCCTGCGCCGCTTGCACCTCGCGCTGTTAACCCGCCGCCTCCCGTGCTATAAATTTGCGGAACCCTCTCCTCTCTCTCTCTTTGATCTCGGCTGCAATGCTGCGCGAGCTATGCGCGAGAGTCCGCGGCGCCGAACAGGCTCGACGAGCCCAAGGACGGGCGGAGTGACGACRTGGGGTGGACCCCGCGGTAGTCWCCGAGCKAAGCAGTCGGAGGGACTGAGCAGTGGTGGGGATTGGACGCCGGCSGCGGCAGGGCCTTGTGGCTATGGTGGTCGGTGGTCTTGGGGAATTTTTGAAGGCCGCGCCTGGGGGCRGCAGTTAATTGAAATTTTTGTGTACGAGAAGGACTCACTTTTATCTCCATTGCTGCTTTGTCTATGTATGTCGTGTGCTTGAGGCCCAGAGTGATGGGAGCTGGTTCTGCGCATGAGTGATGTCGAAGGTCCATGGATGATTAGATGTCCTGTCAAGTGTTKTTGAATGCATGCATGTATGTGTGTATGTACTCGTCCGGGCGGGGATGGGGAAACTGAACTGGGGGACCGTCTGCTTAGGAGTAAGAGTGTGTTGATCCGGTTGTTCCCCTCCCCTCCGCGGTCTTTCCTGTGCTCTCGCGCGGTCTCGGCGTAATTCACTCTCACTCTCTCTCTCCCTCCTTCCCTTCCTCGATCGCCTTCCTCGGAACTGACAGTCATCGCTTTTAGAGCTTATCGTCTCCGCACCGGTGACGTCAACCGCCTGCGTCCGTGCGGACGGTTGACGCCCCCGCCAAGGGGAGAAAGCTTAGCTTTCGTCATCTTCACCCTACGCACCCCCCTTTTTTTTGAGAGAGAGAAAAGTTGCGACGATTGTTGTATGGATTCGGTGTTGGCTCGGATGACCGGGAACGCGGGATCTTGCCCATGTTCATCGCGTACCTCCGATCGTCTCATTTCGCTACCGGCCTTCCCCATCGCAGATGACGACAGCGTCTACTGCGATGCGGACGTACGGTGCGCGCTGAGGCGGACGGAGCAAGTGTGTTGGCAAGACCCGTTGCGGGCCTGTGAGATAAGGGGGAATGGGTTTGTGTTGATTGATCGCTTTGATTCCCCGACTCTGATATTGCCTTACACGGGTTTAACGGTGTTGCCCTGGTCGGCCGCTCACGACGCGTGGCGACCGCAGTTTGATTGTCGCTGGTGTCGCCAGGGGGACTCGTGTTCGTGGCGACGGCTGGTCTTGGGTTACGAGGGAGCGACGCGTTTCCCCGAGCTTTCCCGTAGCGCGGGGGCGCTGCCCGCGTAATTTCGAATTCAGATGCCGGCGAGTCCTCCCGCCGCTTTACCCTCCCGGAAACTTTCGCGCGGACTCTGTGAGTTCGACGCCGAGGCCTGAAGGCCTCGAACCACCCACCTCCACAACAAAGACCCGAGGGGTCAAACACTTTGTGAAGTCGATGATGAGGCCCGAAGGCTTCGAACCCCTCACCTATCCCCCAAACCCCTGACGATCGAAGTTTTGTCTTCCGCCGCCATGGCCCCCCTCCCCTCGATGCCTTTCTCCGTCCCGATGCATGGCGGCAGTTCATTTTTGCGGAAACCTTTTTGATTTTGTCGTTTCAGAGTGATTCGACCCCCACATGACTCCGCGGCGACAGTTCGACTCCGAGAAAAACCTCGGCCACGAAACGAGAGCCTCCCGTTCCGTCCGGGAGAAACCCTTACGGCCAAAAATCCTCGACCACGCCCCTCCTAGAACTCTGATCGGCGACCCCGTACGGGAAGCTGCAAGGGGGCGTGAGGTTGCGTATCACACGCTTGCACTTATTCAAGTCTTCTTTTTAGTGTGCCAGATGTGGCATAACAGCCAAGTACCCCTTTGCATCCATTTCCGACCAAAGTTGCCCGAAGCTTTAGCCACTGAGAAAGGAAGTCGGACTCTGTTTCTGATGGCAGGGTTTTCAAATAAGCAGGTGTTAAGGATTTCGATCCTAGATACAGGTTCCTCCAGAAGTTGGGGGAGCATCTTCCCCCACTCTTTGATGATGTTGCCCCAGGTGTGGCTGATGGGTTTGGAGGTAAACGGGTGCATTATGAGGGCATACCATACTGCTTCGGGGTTGCACTACGATGTTCAACGACTGGTCCTCTTTGGCAGTGAGGGCCCGACTGGCCATTTCGCTAGTAGGGCTCTGTCTTGAGTGGGGGGATCGAGGATACCCAGTCCTCCAGTTTGGTGTTTCTTAGTTATTTTCGACCAGCTAACCTTACTAAGGGATGAGGAGGCCTCTGAGTCTCCTTTCCATAGTAGGCGAGTAAGTAGTCGTCTAATGTTAGTAGCAGATGTGTCGTCTAATGTTAGTAGCAGATGCGGGGGGGAGGGCGCAGATGGATAGGTTGTACCAAATCTTAGAGGATATGAATGTGTTAATGATCATAGCTCTTCCAAAGAGAGATAATAGGTGGGTTTTGGACCAGGTTGAGCATGTATCTCTCATTCTATTTGTTACAATTAAAGCTTCTGTATCTGTGGGGTAAGAGAAAGAGACTTGGATGCCCATATACCGTCCTGGATCAGTTTGTGGCTTGGCAGGAATACCTATATTAATCTAGGGCCAGGGGCTGACCATGAGGAGTCAGGGCTACCAACTTTTGCCAGCTGACCCTCATTTCAAAGGCTGCCTCATAGGTGGAGAGGCATTGTTCCAGGGCTGCCAGAAAAGTGATTGAGTTTTCGGCGAGGGAAGATACTTTGATAGAACAACTGGGGGAAATCCGGAGGCCATCAAAATCTGGGTGGGATGTAACCATATTTAGGAGCACTTCAAGTTGAATGACAAATAATGAGGGAGCCAGTGGGCACCCGTCTCAGAGAAAGGGTGACTCTAAAAGGGTGACCATTGACTAGAACTCGGCCGGATGATGCTCCATAGAGAAGTTTCTAAAATTCTGACCTATACCAACTTTTTCCAGGGTGACTTGGACATAGTCCAAGTAGAGCCTATCGTAGGCTTTTTGGAAGTGAATAATTGCCTTGTTGAGGTTGTCTTTTCGGCCTTAAGATATTATCATTGAGCTGTTCGGCCCCCCTTCATCAAGTTTCATTATCTGGATTTGAACACAGGTCTGTATTTCATGGGTGTACCCACTGAGCTAGGTTTTGGGTTGTTCAAGTCACGTAAATTGATCCTGTCGATGCATTAGGGAGATAGTCATCAGACTCATCACAATATTATCCAGTACTCGTCTGCCCGGCATAAAACCAGACTGGTCCGGGTCTACTGGTACCTTGTGTGGGAAAGGGTCGAGACGACGCGAAAGAGTTTTGGCCAGTATCTTGCCGGGTCTGCATTTTATCTTGTCGTGGCTGTACCCACTGACCTACGTGGGTAGGCCTCTTGGTAAATGCATGGTTCTGTTCGCGAGCACATTTGCTATTCCTCTCAGCTCAACAGCGTGAGTCCCTCGACGAAGGCCTTGTCTACCATCAGAGCTGCTGCCATCATCATCGCCGTCGTGATCTGGCCCCACGCCCTTCTCTCAGAGCATCGACCACCTCCCTTCTCCCGCACTATCTTCGCTTGCTGCCTGTGGTGCCCGACATGAGGGCGACGAGACACAGCCGTTAGCAAAAGCCGTCGGCAGCGCTCAGAATGAAATGGCGGCTGCCTGATCCAGCTGCTGACACGTGGCGAGCACCGGGGAGCTGACTCCTTCTTCATTGGGTTAGCTTGCACCTCCCCGGCGCAAAAATTACCCAAGGCATTGTGAAGACCACCTAGGGGAGGAAAAGGGCCCACGGGGACGCGCACAAACGCTATTTAGAAACAGCAAAAAGAAAAGGTAATCAATTAAACGCGGGAAAGTGATAATAGAATTGAATGGAGGGAAAAAAAACCGCAAAAGAAGCGGGAAGGCGGGGAGAAATCTTAAAACTATACAAGGGAAAAAAAGCAACGAGGAGTTCCGACGGCTTTTCTGAGAGCATACTCAGACTAAGACGTTTTCCACCATTTTTTGCACGTGATTGCAGTTAGATTCATCCAATCCGGCCGCAATTGCGGAGAAATTCAAGATTCATGTACGAAAGTGCTATTGCGAGTATGCCCTGAACTTTAACGTATCAAAAAAAAAAAAAAAAAAAAAAAAAAAGAACTTTAACGTATCCCCGGAGCAATCCAAGCAAGCCATCGATAAAGACGCCCTGGCAACAAAAAAAAACAAAACAAAAAGAAAGACCTCTGGAAAGGTCACGTGGATGCTATAAAAAGACGGGAGC